CATTTAAAATTGTCCCTACAAGAAGTTAATATTTGACAAAATAAATAATTAAATTAACAATAATTGCAAAATTTGTATATTAACTACGTGATCGATTAAAAAAACATAAAATTAAGTGCAAAGCATTAAACTAAAAGATACAATTTTTATATTCTCTGATTTTGTAATTCAATTTTTTCCTTTGGCTTAAATGAACATAATGTTCTAATTTAACTCTCCAAGTCAATAAATAGGCCACTGCAAAATGCTTATTTCAAAATTTAAAAACAAAATGGCATTCTACAAGACTCTTCTTTTAACATTTTTGATCATTTTCATTGCTTCAGACATCGTTGCCGGTAATAAATTATACCTATAACTCAATTTTCATTACTTCATTTGCTTTGTTTTTAGTAAAATAACTAGGATGGTAGGATAATGTCATCTATATTAAAAGGCATGTGTTTTTGCAAAAGGAAATTTAGTTTTATGAAATAGAATACACGATTCTTGAAAAGTTATAATTTCACAGTTTCATATATTGTTCCTAATGAAAGTTTAATTATTGTTTCAGGAGAAATCGAATCCGATCAAAAATTGTGCTTTGCATCAAATTTTTGTCCAACAGGGCCAGAACGGTGTGACCAATTTTGTAAACAAATTGGCCACCCTAGTGGGGGCTCATGTTTAGAAGGGAAGGGTGAATGTTGTTGCAACTTGCAATTTCGGAAATTTTAATATAAAATGAATAATTCCTTCATATTTTGAATAAATTTAGCTACAAACAGAGTGTCTTTAATTTTCATGAAAAGAGGCTGAACAATAAAAAATGTAATTTCCTATTAAATATTTATTACAATAATTTTTACTTAATAGTTGCATTGAAAAAAAAGTTATATTTAATTATTGTATTTAAATATTCTTTAATTAATAGTTGTCATCAGTTTTGTAATTATATCTACCTAACAAAATCACAAAAATAACTTCACCAGGTTATAAAAAAAATCTACCATTAACTTCAATTAACAAAATATTTCTACTCCTTTAAAGAAAAAGACTTGATATTTTGTTATTATTAAGACAGTTAATATACAATATAAAATTATTTAAGATGTCAAATTTATTATTCTTTAAAAAATCGTACCAAAATATTTTTTATCCCGTAAGTGGTTTTTTTTACCAATATTTAAATAAAAAAGTAAGGGATGTCCATTATTTTCATAAATATTATAACTAAAAGCTAATATCGTGGCTTATATTATAATATAATATCATCAAATGATTTCTACAAATATTTTAAAAATAATTTGTTTTTAGTTAATATGTAACTATTTCACTTGTATATTAGACTAACGTTTTTGTTAAAGAGTAAATTAGTATATATAGGGTTAAAACTTAAGTATTGCCCAATATTTTTATCAAAATAACACTTCAATTCTAATGTTGTGGCTTCATTTATAAGTTAATTAAAAAATAAAAATAAAATATATTCCAAATTAATATATATTTATTCATATGTTAATTGTACGGTTGTTTTAATCCTCATAGTATCAAACACATTAATATTAAAATAATAGAGACACTCTTGGATTATAAATATGTTTCCATATATTTAAGATTTTACATAGTGGTGCAAAAAAACTTATTTAGAAAATATAATACATTTTTTATGAAATCATTAAAGTTTTTAAAAATTAGTTATAAATAAATTGAAAAAAAAATAAAAATATAGTAAATCACCAAGAATGTGGTATTACACATTAGGACAACTCAAAAAAAATTTATTTAAAATGTTTTACGTAGAATATGGAAGACATTATTATAACCATTAAAATATAATTAATATTTTAGGAAAATTCCTAAAATATCTGTATTTGTAGATTAATTATGGGATCTATCGGAAGAAATTTTGAAAATAAATTTAGTTTATAAAAACAAACAAAAAAAAATTATGATATTTTTTAATCAAGAGTTGGGAAAATGTTTAATATTATATTTGTAACAAAAAGAGGTGTTAATTGAACATATAAAACTTGACATTTAATTGGATAAGTCGTATAACATTTGTATATTTATATTAAAATAATTCATTTGATCAAAAAATGATTAAATCAATAATAATAAAAATAATTTATTTCAAATTAATATTTTTTTATTTCATCTATAAAATAGTCTTATGTTCGCTTCTTCTTAATATTAAACATGCTAACATTGAAATAAACCACTAATGGGCTGGCTGAAGTGTAATGTTGATGCGCATTTTAATAATAACAATGGCACTACGAATAGTGAGTGGTGAGTGTGTAATCGTTCTGGGAACTTTATTTCTGCAGGTTTTGCGTGGGATCCAAGAATTCTTTCCGTCATTGAAGCCGAAGCCTTAGCACTGAAAGATGCAATTCTCAGAGCTATGTCTTCGCACTTGGAGCTTGTTACATTTGAAAGAGATTCCCAATGAGTTATTCAAGCAATGCATTTTAATCGTAATGGCGACTCTGAATTTAGTATTATTAGTGAGTCTATTTCTAGTTTAGTTGTTAATTTTCCAAGCTTTGTGGTGAATTTTGTCAAGTGTCAAGCAAATATGGTTGTTCACTCTATTGCGAGTGCAATCAATTCTTGGGCTCGACGTAGTTAATGATTATTGATTCCTCGTTGTACTGAATATTATTTAAAAAATTAAATGCATTGATCTTGTTGTGATATAAAAAGAGGATTATACATTTGAAAAATGTTGCCAAGTAAATAAAATTTCCACAATGGCACAACAAAACTTAATTTAAGCAAAACAATTCATTGATATATGAAATAATTATTTTAGGGGAGTAATTCAAAATTGAATCTTAAATAAACAAATTAATATTTACTATTTGAAAATACTCTACTCTACAAATCGTGATCTTTATGGGATTAAGAAAAGTGGTTTTTTAAAAACACAAATAATTTGATTTTTCTTTCTTTCGCGCTCTGGTTCTATTATCTCAGAGATTGTGAACTGATTTGATTTTAAATTAAGAGTTTATGTTAGGAAAATATATTCTTGAAAATATTTTTTTTTAATAAATTGCATTTAGTATTCCCTAATAAACCTTATAAACGTACAGAGTGATTTTTGTAAGCCTTTTAGTATAATTTTTTTTTGTTTTTACCGATGTTTATTAAATAGATAGAAACTCAAGTGTTGCCCAATTTTTTTTAATCAAAATACAAATTTAAAAGCTAATATTGTGGTTTAAGTTACAAGAAAATCTTAACAGATATATTAGTAACATTAAGTAAAAATAATTTATTCTAAATTAATATTTATTAATTTCATATGTTAATTAAATAATTTTTTTCCTCCTCATAATATCTAAAACGTTACTGTTAAAAAAAGAGTAACTATTTTTATTTTTAAATATGTTTCCATCTATTTAAAAATTTTCATATGCGTATATTAAAAAAATTATTTAGGAAATTCAACTCATTTATAGATAAAATCATTAATGTTAGATAATAAATATTTAAAAATTAGAATGTAAACATATATAAATATTTTTAATATTTAAAACTACCAATAATGTTGTAATAGAAATTTGGACAACCGAAAAAATTTATTATACTTTTTAGTGTTGGATATGGAAGACATTATAACCACAATATGTAGAAAAATATAAATGATGTTTTAAAACAATTTATAAACTTTTTTATTTTATTTTGTATAATTTGGTTGTGAAATATATTGTAAGCAAAATATGTAATAAAAATTTTACCCAAATTATATTCTCTGTGTTTGTAGATTATTATGGGATCTAGGGTAATAAATTTGTAAAAAAAAAACTAATTTTTAATCATGAGTTGCACAAATGTTTAATATTACTAATGATTTACTAATAAAAGTGATGTTATTTGCACGTATAAAAGTAAAAAAACATTATAGGATATGTTGTATAAAACTTGTATATTTAATATGATGTTAAATGTTTTTTTTTAATTGTCCCACTTTTAAAATTGTAGTATAATCATTTAAAATTGTCCCTACAAGAAGTTAATATTTGACAAAATAAATAATTAAATTAACAATAATTGCAAAATTTGTATATTAACTACGTGATCGATTAAAAAAACATAAAATTAAGTGCAAAGCATTAAACTAAAAGATACAATTTTTATATTCTCTGATTTTGTAATTCAATTTTTTCCTTTGGCTTAAATGAACATAATGTTCTAATTTAACTCTCCAAGTCAATAAATAGGCCACTGCAAAATGCTTATTTCAAAATTTAAAAACAAAATGGCATTCTACAAGACTCTTCTTTTAACATTTTTGATCATTTTCATTGCTTCAGACATCGTTGCCGGTAATAAATTATACCTATAACTCAATTTTCATTACTTCATTTGCTTTGTTTTTAGTAAAATAACTAGGATGGTAGGATAATGTCATCTATATTAAAAGGCATGTGTTTTTGCAAAAGGAAATTTAGTTTTATGAAATAGAATACACGATTCTTGAAAAGTTATAATTTCACAGTTTCATATATTGTTCCTAATGAAAGTTTAATTATTGTTTCAGGAGAAATCGAATCCGATCAAAAATTGTGCTTTGCATCAAATTTTTGTCCAACAGGGCCAGAACGGTGTGACCAATTTTGTAAACAAATTGGCCACCCTAGTGGGGGCTCATGTTTAGAAGGGAAGGGTGAATGTTGTTGCAACTTGCAATTTCGGAAATTTTAATATAAAATGAATAATTCCTTCATATTTTGAATAAATTTAGCTACAAACAGAGTGTCTTTAATTTTCATGAAAAGAGCTGAACAATAAAAAATGTAATTTCCTATTAAATATTTATTACAATAATTTTTACTTAATAGTTGCATTGAAAAAAAAGTTATATTTAATTATTGTATTTAAATATTCTTTAATTAATAGTTGTCATCAGTTTTGTAATTATATCTACCTAACAAAATCACAAAAATAACTTCACCAGGTTATAAAAAAAATCTACCATTAACTTCAATTAACAAAATATTTCTACTCCTTTAAAGAAAAAGACTTGATATTTTGTTATTATTAAGACAGTTAATATACAATATAAAATTATTTAAGATGTCAAATTTATTATTCTTTAAAAAATCGTACCAAAATATTTTTTATCCCGTAAGTGGTTTTTTTTACCAATATTTAAATAAAAAAGTAAGGGATGTCCATTATTTTCATAAATATTATAACTAAAAGCTAATATCGTGGCTTATATTATAATATAATATCATCAAATGATTTCTACAAATATTTTAAAAATAATTTGTTTTTAGTTAATATGTAACTATTTCACTTGTATATTAGACTAACGTTTTTGTTAAAGAGTAAATTAGTATATATAGGGTTAAAACTTAAGTATTGCCCAATATTTTTATCAAAATAACACTTCAATTCTAATGTTGTGGCTTCATTTATAAGTTAATTAAAAAATAAAAATAAAATATATTCCAAATTAATATATATTTATTTCATATGTTAATTGTACGGTTGTTTTAATCCTCATAGTATCAAACACATTAATATTAAAATAATAGAGACACTCTTGGATTATAAATATGTTTCCATATATTTAAGATTTTACATAGTGGTGCAAAAAAACTTATTTAGAAAATATAATACATTTTTTATGAAATCATTAAAGTTTTTAAAAATTAGTTATAAATAAATTGAAAAAAAAATAAAAATATAGTAAATCACCAAGAATGTGGTATTACACATTAGGACAACTCAAAAAAAATTTATTTAAAATGTTTTACGTAGAATATGGAAGACATTATTATAACCATTAAAATATAATTAATATTTTAGGAAAATTCCTAAAATATCTGTATTTGTAGATTAATTATGGGATCTATCGGAAGAAATTTTGAAAATAAATTTAGTTTATAAAAACAAACAAAAAAAAATTATGATATTTTTTAATCAAGAGTTGGGAAAATGTTTAATATTATATTTGTAACAAAAAGAGGTGTTAATTGAACATATAAAACTTGACATTTAATTGGATAAGTCGTATAACATTTGTATATTTATATTAAAATAATTCATTTGATCAAAAAATGATTAAATCAATAATAATAAAAATAATTTATTTCAAATTAATATTTTTTTATTTCATCTATAAAATAGTCTTATGTTCGCTTCTTCTTAATATTAAACATGCTAACATTGAAATAAACCACTAATGGGCTGGCTGAAGTGTAATGTTGATGCGCATTTTAATAATAACAATGGCACTACGAATAGTGAGTGGTGAGTGTGTAATCGTTCTGGGAACTTTATTTCTGCAGGTTTTGCGTGGGATCCAAGAATTCTTTCCGTCATTGAAGCCGAAGCCTTAGCACTGAAAGATGCAATTCTCAGAGCTATGTCTTCGCACTTGGAGCTTGTTACATTTGAAAGAGATTCCCAATGAGTTATTCAAGCAATGCATTTTAATCGTAATGGCGACTCTGAATTTAGTATTATTAGTGAGTCTATTTCTAGTTTAGTTGTTAATTTTCCAAGCTTTGTGGTGAATTTTGTCAAGTGTCAAGCAAATATGGTTGTTCACTCTATTGCGAGTGCAATCAATTCTTGGGCTCGACGTAGTTAATGATTATTGATTCCTCGTTGTACTGAATATTATTTAAAAAATTAAATGCATTGATCTTGTTGTGATATAAAAAGAGGATTATACATTTGAAAAATGTTGCCAAGTAAATAAAATTTCCACAATGGCACAACAAAACTTAATTTAAGCAAAACAATTCATTGATATATGAAATAATTATTTTAGGGGAGTAATTCAAAATTGAATCTTAAATAAACAAATTAATATTTACTATTTGAAAATACTCTACTCTACAAATCGTGATCTTTATGGGATTAAGAAAAGTGGTTTTTTAAAAACACAAATAATTTGATTTTTCTTTCTTTCGCGCTCTGGTTCTATTATCTCAGAGATTGTGAACTGATTTGATTTTAAATTAAGAGTTTATGTTAGGAAAATATATTCTTGAAAATATTTTTTTTTAATAAATTGCATTTAGTATTCCCTAATAAACCTTATAAACGTACAGAGTGATTTTTGTAAGCCTTTTAGTATAATTTTTTTTTGTTTTTACCGATGTTTATTAAATAGATAGAAACTCAAGTGTTGCCCAATTTTTTTTAATCAAAATACAAATTTAAAAGCTAATATTGTGGTTTAAGTTACAAGAAAATCTTAACAGATATATTAGTAACATTAAGTAAAAATAATTTATTCTAAATTAATATTTATTAATTTCATATGTTAATTAAATAATTTTTTTCCTCCTCATAATATCTAAAACGTTACTGTTAAAAAAAGAGTAACTATTTTTATTTTTAAATATGTTTCCATCTATTTAAAAATTTTCATATGCGTATATTAAAAAATTATTTAGGAAATTCAACTCATTTATAGATAAA